GATAGTACATTTTTCATAAGGATTAAAATAGTACGTTTTGAAAAATTGATGTAATTATCACGTTTTGACAATTATTTTTTTAACTTTTACTACAGAATCTATAGTAAACAGTACGTTTTGCATCAACTGACTATTTTAATAAAGGTTTTTTAATGAAAAATCGTATTTTTTGACTTAATCTGATGACGCCAATCGATTTTCCGTTGTTTTAAACATAGTATTCAATGATTTTTCATTATTTAAAATTACGCCGACTTATTTTTACTGATAAACATTCTTTGAAATCCCTCTATTGAATTTTGCAAGTACATTATATTATTTGATAATTGTAATTCAATCATAGTATGTTCTATATACTAATTAGGTCTTAAATATAAATTAAAAAATCCAGAAAAAAGCTGTACCTACGTTTCCTTATATTTAAATTTTCATATTTTCGTGGGGGCTGAATTTTACGTAACATCTTCTTTAATCTATTCTTAACTTTGATACAGTGGAAAAACGTCGTTTATAATTAAGTTATTGCATTCCATATCAAATTTTCTTCAGCAATATCAACTATTTTGAATTTTTAAGTTGTTTTCCCTTTTATATTTCTAATATTTAATATTTATCCCAGTTTTATTTAAACATAAAAGCGTTAGAAATAGAATTAATGGAATCAATAGAATGATAAAATCCATAAGTTAATTAAAAATTGATTTATTCATCTCGCCAATTTTATTCTTTTTCAAAGTTTTAAAATTATCTATTCTTTTCTGTACGATATTAGTAAATTAAGTAGTTTTGTGGCAATATTCGTAGTCTGCTAATGAAATAATTAAAAATTAAATATCAAATTTACTTACATTTAACATTAGTTTTCAATTACACTGATCGTTAAAAAAAACGTTTAATTTTAAAACAATACTCTGATCGATTTGTACAAAGAAGAACAAAACGAGCACTCTTTACCCAAAATGTCATTATTCTATTCTCTTTTAAAGTAAGACACCTCTTAAACAACTTTTGAATACTTTTCTTAAATCTTATTTTTTATATTATAAGCGTTGTGTATCATAATTTATTGGAAAATGTGAATGAATGATTGCACTATTACAAAACATCGTTATAAGTTGTAACTATAACCACTCATAAAACAACGACCAACGGTATGTACACGTATAATAACTTCTAACACTAGGAAAATTCATTTTGAGCCAGAACTATTCAAGAGATGTATAATTCACAAAATATAATAGTGAAAAGCAATCTCTGGCTATAAACAAAAACCATCCACAATTGTTATTTTCCTGCTCGTAATTTTTGAATTGCATACCCGCTCTGCTAAAGTACAATACATTAACTGCCAGCGTTAACTCTTAAATAATACTACTATTTTTGCGAAACGTTTTCAGAAGAACTTTAAATTCACCCTGTAACTGTTTTTAAACACTAAATTAAAAGTGTATTATATATTCATATACATACTTTATCATATATGTACTATACGTAATTTTATACATGAATCATACCATAATGCAAAAATAATATTGCACTGTGAGAATTGTTATAAATGTTTTTTTTTTGGCTGAATTATCATTATTTTTGTATAGTAGTTATTATATTATATTATTACATATTTTCGTATGAACATAACAAATAATAATATGCAATATATATTTTATAATGGGATTTATTTAACTAACTTGTATATTGAGAAAAAAATCACTTCCTAAATCCTAATGTATTTGTTTATATCAGTAAATGCATAATAAATTTAATATAAAAGTTATTATGCTATTTATAATGAAATAAAATATAATATAACTTTTAAATATTTATTTAAAAAACGATGATTAAGATTTTGAAATACACATCTAGTTTTATTTAATATAGATTATAGAGTACCTACTTAATACCGTAAAAATAAATGTTACCATCATAACACATCAATTTATTTTCGATTTAACTAAAAAAAATGTAATAATTTTATAGTGATAAAATATCATTAAATTATGCAAAACAATTAATATTATTATGATATACGATGTAGCGTTGCATAATATTAAAAACAATAAAAATAAGATGCAATATCTATCAATAATTTTAATTGAAATATATTCACTAAAATTAATATAAAATTACGTTCTTGCATCCATTTATAATAACATGATATGTTGTTTAATTTATTAAGAAGAAATATAAAATATAAATTATTTACTCAGAAATATTGTGTTCAATATTTAAAACCAATTCGCTTTAATTTAATTTTATAATATATGATACAATACTTTATTTTTATCAAATATTGCTATTAAAGCTTAAACTATAATTTGTGAAAAATATACAATTTAATACAGTTACTACTGTATCTTTGATTCCTATTTCTATTTCGTATAATATATCATATAATTCTGTGTAGTATAATTTATTAAAAAAGTATGAAATATAAAATATTTACTCACAACTGCCGTATTTATAAATTCAAGTTTTTTTTTTTTTGGAAATATTGTATTATTGTATTTTTAGTTACTTATTTGGCTAAACAAAATATTATAATACGTTAAAAATATTACATGGTAGTAAAATAATATTTGATTTTTCCCAAGTTGATATTTTATTTTTCTTCTTATAAAATCGTATATTCTTTAATATAATATGTTTATTATTTCTTCGATGATTCTTTTTTTTTTATTTCGTGAATTTTTATGATAATAATTTTTCTCTTTTTTTCTATTATTATTTTTTTCTTTTAATTGAATTTATTTGCTGTATAGCATGTGTTATAATTCGCAAAAACGACACTGCCATGCATAAAATGATAATGAGTTACGAGTTGGTTCAAAAGAAATAAGGACTATAGTAGTTCTGATGATACACAAAACCTTAACAGACCCTAATAATTGTGGTCGAAATATTTTCGTACAAAAGTCACAGCCTCCCATAATTACTTCAAAAATACCGAAGAACTTTTTTTTGCGTCAATTAAGATCTAAACTGTGAGACGTCGTCTTAAAAGTTAAAACTCAACGCGTCTATACCAAACTCGTTGTAGAGAACGAATAATAATACAAACATTACCACTAAGGAACTATATAATATGTATGATGCGTCGTCGTGGCAGCCGTTGTGCACCCCCGAAATTGCACATGAGCCATGAGGTCAACAGTATATATTTTTTAATAATAAAAAATACCCTTTATGTATAAAACATAAAAAATAAATAAATATCAAATATGATTCAATACTGCCATATAATATTATACTGCAGAATAAATATTATACAGTTTGAATAAATCGCACAGATGACAGTTGTCTCAACAACAATGTCAATATTATGTCTCGTGCTTTGGAAATAAAAACAATATCAATATGCCTAATATAATAACGATGTAAGTCTAATATATGTTCGATGAATGACGTTTATTATTATTCATTGGTACGCCTCAGTTCGTAATGTACCTACTACGCGCGTTATACAATACCTATGGACAATTGCATGTAAAAGGGTGGTAGTGTACATTGTCGAGTAATCAGTCACGTCGGAGGTTATCAACGATGGGTCACGTGGATGACTGTGACACAGGGGGTGTCAAAGAGTACGGTGATTGTAGGTTGGACAGGATATAATTAATGATGGATCTGAGAAATGTATTCCCGACACGAAAAGCAACTATAAAATAAATTTCTGCAAAGAACAATAAAATGTCATACACTGACATGTGCCGTTTATATATTATATTATATATATTTCTATGTATGTGTGACGTAGATACATAAGTATGTATACATGACATATATATATTGAGTAGAATGATGTTTTTCTTTTAAACGTTGAAATTGCTTTCAAAAAGTATAACTTTATAAAGACAACAGACTTACAGAATAAACGAACAAAAGTATCTTTCAATACTTTTAAAAGTTTTATCAAAAGTACGTGTAACGCTTATTTGAAAATAATAATTAAATAACGACATTATGTATGTGTATAATATAATATATATATATATATTCAACTAGAATCTGTTGCACATCACTATTGATAAAATTTGAAAAATAATAATAATATTAATTTAAAAAATAACCAACCATGCTTCGCAACTTTATAAAAAAAATAAATATAGGTAAATAATGCATTTCATTTTCGTTTAATTTTATCTAAGCATATAATTATATTAATAGTTGTTTTAGCCGAAGACAGACGAGACAACCGATGGACCACTCGGTTTACCCGAGAACGATAATACCTCTTATAAAATGTTGGTAGGCAATCAAAGATTCTCGGTTGATGTAACGATGGGTAGACAACTAATATGCACGACGACGACGCAGTGGTACGGGGTTATATATATGCTTAATAATATAGAAAGCAGGATGGTACAATTTATATATATAATAGGGCCGAGGGACCCTGGGGTCGATCCGGTCTGGTGTAATGACCACAGGAGGGAATTAACAAATTGGGACTACACTTAAAATTAACTATATCTAAGGCAGGTGACTGGTGAGCTGATGATTGGTTGATTAGTGACTGGTTGCAACTGGACGACCGGGGCGGCCTCACACACACCACGACGAGTGCTGGCGGTCTTACGCTGATGAGGATGTGGATGGTGCCTCGGACAAAAGATCCTTACCTTATTATGCCAGAGATCATAGGTGGAATATTAACTTGGCTACAATAGCACGACAACAGGAGTAGGACAAACCCAAAGTTCATGCCATAATTGCGAAAAGTATAAATATATTATTTTTAAAAACGTCGCATTGACAAACGAAAACAAAAATGTAGTACAGTAGAACCTCTGTTATCCGAACTAATTAGGACCGCGCCTAGTTCGGATATGCAAAAGTTCGGATATTAGAAATAAAAAAAAAAATTATACGTTATTAATAATTAATTTATTATTGTTATAATTAAATATTTATTACTATTATTAATATTTTATTAGAAATATCAGAATTTATTACATTATTAGAAATACATTACATAAATACATAGGAACATATAATGTTTATTATATTTTTTTGACAAAATTATGGATTTTCATTTGACGATGAGTTGCAACGCGTTTTTCTGCAGCCAAGTCTCTTAAACGTTTAAGGAGAAGTAATTGTGTTGGACAATATTCGGCCTGTTTTTCAAACCACTCAATACCAGTTTCAAATGCAGCAAATGCTCCAGCTGATGATGGTCCTTTTGGTTTACTCATACTTTCATCACTACTGCTGTTTTCACTTTCTTCATTTTGCAACAAAGAAATGATTTCATCACTATCTAATATTTGATATCCTAGATCATTTACATCAGTTGCTAACCAATCAACAGCGTCATCATAATTACAGTCATTAAATCCTGGAATTTCATTAAATAAATCAACAAAATCATTAAGACTATTTAGATCTCAGTTTCTTCTTCGGCTTCTAACTTCATAGAAGCAACCCACAATTTCTTCCAAGCATTTCGTAAATTGTCCTCAGTCAAATTTTCCCAGGCATCTGCTACCATGTAACAGCAGTGTTTCAAATTCAATGATTTTGAAAATGCAACAACACTCTCTTCAGTGCCTTTATTTAATAAAAGTCTCCTCAACATTTGTTTTCAGTACATTCTTTTGAACTTTTCAATCACTCCCTGGTCCATAGGCTGAATCAAAGACGTTGCGTTTGGTAGAAAAAACATGACTTGATAATCTGGATCAATTAAATTTAATACTTCAGCGGATGGGTGAGTGGGTGCATTGTCTAGTAGGAGTAACACTTTACCTGTTTTATGATGATCCTGACGCCATTTTTTTTACATTTTTTATGAAATCATTTTCAAACCAATTAAGAAATAATTTAGAGTCCATCCAAGAATTTTTTTGAGCTGTATATGTTACCGGTACACTTTTGATGTTCTTGAAACACCGTGGTTTTTTTGATTTTCCTATGAGTAATAATAGCAATTTATGCATCCCAGCAGCATTAGCACATGTCATAATTTTTACTCTTTCTTTAGATACCTTAAAACCACACGCTGCATGTTCTTGGCAAGAAGCAAGTGATTTTCTTGGTAATGCTTTTCAGTTTAAGCCACTTTCATCGGCATTGTAAACGGAATCTTGAAAATATCCTTCTTTTTCCACAAATAAGCGGAATGTTTGTTTAAAATTTTCAGCGCTACTTGAATCAGCTGATAATAATTCTCCTTGAATTTGTAACTCACGTATTCCATGACGGGATTTAAATTTATGAAGCCAGCCACTGCTGGCCTTAAAATCTTCAGGGCCTCCAAGTTTTGTATTCATCTCGAAAGCTTTTTCACATATGAGTGGTCCAAAAATTGGTTCATTTAAGCTTCGTTTTTGTATAAACCACATTTCCATCGCTTTGTCGAGATCTTGATATTTTGCGACCTTCATAACTTTCCTTCTTTTCATTCCATCACCACTCCATCTTCGACGAAAAATCCATAATTGCACGACGGTTGTTTTTAATATCTGAAACTGTTGCTTTACCTATATTATAAAGGCGGGCTAAAGATACGCTAGTCTCACCTTTGTCCAGTTTAGCAAGAATTTCTATTTTTCGTTCCATCGTAAGAACATTACGTTTACGTTTATTAGACATTTTAATTTTTAGATATGCACTTAACAATCGTAATATATTAGTACGTATAAAGATGTGAATTCGGTAGAAAGCCGAACTAAACTGACAAGTTCAGCACGATGACATCATTTAGATAAGCTCATTGCGTTTTAATTATCTACTAATGATTCACGCTCATAAAATACGTACTAATAATAAACCAAAAGCTAATTTTATGATAAGTTCGATAAACCGATTACGAGATACGAGTTTTACAGTTCGGATACGAAAATTATAGTTCGGATAATAGAGGATTCGTATAACGGAGGTTCGGATAATCGAGGTTCTACTGTATATATAATAATTAATTTGTGAAAACGATGCGCACTGCATGCGAAAAAAACAAGAATAACAACAGTAATAAAAACGAAGACGACAGAGACAAAAATGATAAGAAAAATAATAACAATGATAATAAGGGCGTTGGCCGAATACAGGTATCCATAGATAATAGTAATAAAATAATAATTAAATAATAATGACGATTTACACGACCAAAGACAAAACATAATAATAATATGCAAAAGGCACAACACTGTACACACAAAAAAAAACAATAACAATTAACAGCGATGATAGCACTAATGATAATAATGATATCGGATGGAAAACGGAGAACGAAGGGAAAGGTCGAAATCGTTCGACCTTTTATTTTTTAAACAAAAAAATTTTAAATCCATGAGATTTTCATGGTATGATTTTTCATAAATATTTTTTTCCATGCTCGATAAGTTAATAATCTTTGATTTAATAATATATATATATATATTATTAGAATATATATATAATATATGTGTGTATACGTATTATATTATATAGTCAATATACAGTTAAAGACGTCAGATGCAATATTTATTCTGTATATTTATTGTTTATGTATAGGTGTTGTGAAATGGAAAACTGTATAAAAATAATATTTTAGAGTTTTTATGATATTGTTTCTCTCTGCCAGTTGTATATCGCGAAGCGATATTAATCGCGCGAGAAAAAAAGTTCGAATAAGTTACCAGAAATACAAGAAATTTGTTTTGTTTTTCTATGCTATCGAATGATAACACGTAAATAGAATAGTTATATGTTTATCAAAACAAAACTCCGCTATGACTATTATCAGGACATTTATATCCTTAATTTGCCGAAATTATTGAACGATCAACAATAATTTCAAGAACGACTTGAAGCTAACCCAATCATTATTATTTTTAATAGCAACTAAAATTTAAGTCTGAATTTCTCTATATTGAAACAATATTTTATAAAAGAAAATGACAAGGAACGCTGTGTACATTATAATATAATATAGTATAATAACAATATATATTATTTTGAAGGATATCCGGAGTAAATATCGTTTGTTGGCAATTTACGCCGAATCAGTCTTTCCGATCTGACGGATTCAGAGACATGCGAGCTTGCGCTCCCGTTAATTATTATCGAATGAACCGAACGTAATAAACTAATAATAGTAGTATAGTAGCAGTAATAATAATAATAATAATAATACCCATTATTATCGTCGTTTCGTGTATAAATTGCTGCCATTGTTCGTCCGTAAAACAGATGCTGTCATAACATTATATTATAGTTTGATGAGTAGTATGTATATTATATTATATTATATTACACCATTATGTTTTCATCCGGATAACTGTCATACGTCGTCACTCGTTGCTGGTCTAAAATAATTTCTATTCTGTTTGAATAATATAATATCATTACTGTATGTATAACAATAAAATATTGTATAAATATTATTTAGATGTCTTCAATAATATAGGCGACCTTTTTTTTACGCACATCCTCTTTTAATTCGATTTTTTCTATTCATTTTCAAGTGCATCTTTCATTTATTATGTTTAGCCATCATATTATGCGATTTGTCTTAATATTTTATACTTTAGTCGATTTGTCATAATATTTGTATCTTGAAGTGGTGTTGAATAGGAATGAGCGTTAGAAATTGACTTCAAAAATATACTGTTTAAACTGTGTCGAACTACGTAAAAATATAAAATTTGTTATTATGGTTTATTTTTTGGTAGCGTTTAAAATCTATGAATGAAAAGTAAAGATTTTTTAGGTGTCTTTTATATTCACACTACTCTTTTCACTCAAACTTAAAAAAAAACTCTTAAAAAGTGGAATATTCATTCAGTACTCATCTAAATGTACGATGTTTATAATCATAAATATAATCAGAAAAATAACTTAGATAAGAAGATAAAAATAAGGATTGTCAATTTATTTTTAAAATATAAGCTTATATGAAACACAATTAATATGATAACAATAATATGGATTAATACTTGTAAAAATGTTATAAAAATTAAATATTCAAAAGATTTTAACCGAGAAAAATATGAATATTATTATAATATAATACTATTATATTTTTATAACAACAAGCATTGTATAATGTCATACACGCTAATTCAATGAGTCATTAAACAAATTGTTTTGTCAAAACCATTATTATTATTTTCTAATAACAATTGCCAATTCTGTGAATGTTTTTCGATTGCATATAACTATATTTAATTCTTTTTTGACACATATTTTAATTATCAAAAAAATAATAAGGCATGGGTACTTCAATAATTTTAATACATACGTAAGAGTCGTGACACACAGATTGAAGTTATGCCATTATCCTGAAAAGTTTACAAAAGCTATGAGAGTTTCATTTTCTTTTTTCCACCAATTCTTTGTTACATTTGTTTTTTTTTCTCTGACAAATTATAATGAAGTGTTCTATTGTTGTAAGTCATTACTGTTTTTCGATCGAGCAATTTGTAAAAAAATATACTACGGCCTGTGGGTCTTCCGTCGTCCATTATTCGGTGGACGACTGTCATATTATTTCATTTTTTGTGGAGAATCGGTGTGATACAAAAACCATCCTATACAATTTTCCGATAAATCTATAATCAGTTCAACGATAATAATTGCACCGCGAATTCAATAAAAATATAATAACTTAGAACGGTGCATACTACAATGTCATGTTGGTAAAAAGTAGTTGTCTATAAAAAAGAATTTCTTTCTCCCTTTTATCACTCTTATCCAACCCCATTAGTATATCATAATATATGAGTACTGATGACAATATAACATAAATGGTATTGTGTATTCTACACGCAGACGCTGTTTTAACCAATAGCGTGTTCTGTACACAGTAAAAAACTGTAATAATAGGGTCGTGAAGAAATCAAAGAAATATAAAAACAAATTTGCACAAAGTATCGAGTAGTTTATGGCATAAAATGATATTAGAGAATGTTGCAGTATGTATATGCGGCATTGCTGTAAACGTTCATTATAATATTGTCGCCGTGTTTGTTATTTCTTATTGTTAACATGTTAAGATCCTAAATCGACACAAAATTATCTGACAAAGGGATCGTTTGAAAATCACATTTTATCAAATTATTATTTTTACAATACAAATATAATGGTATATAATATGTATTGCTCACTATTTTACTGATATTATTATATAAAAGCATTAGAACTTCATAAATTCTTTGTTACGATAAATACTAGAAAATACACATTTCTGTTTGCTATAATTAGTATAAATAGCTAGTTACAATATATACAAAATATATTTCATAAAACCAAAAACCAATAATTATTAATATAGATTTTCATTTTTACCTACCTATTGTAAAATCAGTATTGTTATCTTACCTACATCGTGGACGGAAAAATTATTAACTTTCGGTTTAATGTTTAGGTTATATTATGATTTGTTTGAAAAAATGTATATTCTTTCAAGTATCTTTTTGATATTTGCTAACATAAAGTATAACTGTAATTTTATACAAAAACATTTCAAACTTAAACTCTACATTTTTATTTTTGTTCACTGTCATTTTCATTTTTTTTTTTCAAACTCGCTTACAAAGCAAAGAAAAACATAACAAAGAATACTGGCCCAACGTGTTTGCAATTTAAAATAAACATGTAACATTTTCAAAAGGTATTTGTTCATTCTTTTATGTTTTTGAAAAATTATACTTCACTAGTAAAAATATATCCCATTTTGATTTTACAATTATATGGTTTTTATTTTTATTTTTTATATTTTGCACATACTTAGGTATAATTTATTTCTTTCGTGCGTTTTTTATAATATATACCTATTTATATTATATATCATATTTATTTAGTGTTTTTTTTTATTATTATTATTATTATTATAAGTATTTTAATTTTAAAATTTTGCACCCACTATATTGTTGCAATAAATTATCTTCTTTACAAACAATGAACATAGAATGTTCAGTAAACAACATTTTATCGAATAACATAAATAAAATCTGTACACAATTGTAACAAGCAATTAAATAGCTTGTGTAATAATATAGCTTCTATAATATATTGACTTAATGTCAATTGAATATATCAAATGTAGAATACTAGAACTACACTTGTGTAAGATAAGTATTGAGATAAACTATGATCGTCAGATAAATATTCACGACAAAATTAAAAATTAATAGTAATACAAATACGATAATAAATTTGATGAAAAACTATAATATGTGTAGCGTTACAAATATGTATGACAAAACTATTGCAAACATGAGGAAAAGAAAAAACATTAAGTTAATAAACTAAATACATAAGGTTATAAAATATTTTAATATTTATTCATATGTATGATATATTTATTATTCAATTGAATAGGTACTTGAGAGAATTTTTACTATAAAATAATAAAACCAAAACATCCTCAAATAATTTATTTTTATTCAAGTATATGCGTTAC